GATTAGTGCCATTTGCAAGCAGCAAATAAAACTCGACACTGAAAGCCTGGGCAGATGCCAGGTGAGTGTGTTCATCGCACAATCTGACACTTGTAATTTGAGACTATAAGATCTGAAGATGTCACCGTCAAAAGTCAGGCAGGTGTTCCTGAACACTTCCTTCATTTAGGTTTTCATTTTTTAAGAAACATAGTTTAAAAATTTTGTGGAAGGCAAAAGATATCTGTTACAGGAGAGATCAGAGAATAACTCTATGTTGTCATCTGGTTTGCGGTTTAGTTCACTGCTAAGCATAATGCGATATTCAGAAATTAAATTCCTGAGCCTGTAGTAAATGCTGAATCCATTATAAGCTTTTGGAGAATGACTCCTTGATGATCACAGTTTCACAGGAAATATCAACAGAAATAAATATTTATGAAAAAACAAAGCAAAAGTGCTTGATAATACTGTTTCAAAGTAGAATAAACAACAATTTACAATGTAGATAACTAAAGGACTCTAGTAAACTCCTGGAACTCAAAGGAGCCAAATGTGCCATTCTCTGAAGGGGAGGATTAATGAACAAAGGATAAAGCAGGATAAGCATGAGAGAACATTTGTAGTTTTATAAATGATCAAGGGAAACTTTTCTCTAGATTTTTGAAAGAGAATAATCATGAAGCTTATGGACCAGTGCATTCCATGAGCAGGACAAGTAGACCATTCCCCTATTAAGATCACAAGTTGGTAAACATTCCCACTGTTAAAAGGTGTATCCTCCATACTTTTAAACACCGTACATTCAATGAACTGCTTCATGACATGTGAACATTCATACAAATTATAACATCATCTCTTGCCTCATCAATGTCCCTTCTTAGAATGTACATCCACAACTAAAATACCTTGAAATGCAACACCATAGCTTTATAGAAATGCCTGATAACCACATGGTACAGAGAGGAAATGGGAACATTTGTACAGCAATGAGATAAGGGGTAGAGCTTGTGTTAAATGGTGATCATTAAGGACTCTGGATGCTAGAGAAGTCTTTTTTCTACTCACAGACACTGGACCAAAAATTTGGCAGTCTTACCATGTGAGTTAAGAAGCCACATCATATGTCTTTGGGATCACTGTGCAATAATGAATTACAATGATCCAAAACTATTCTAGTAAAATCTGATATAGTCTGGGATTTGTACTTTCATGAAAATTAAATTTCTCATAGTTTTACTAATTATCTTATTCCATGGGTTTCATTGAATTAAAAATAAATTATACCATTAGGTTTTAAATGAATTGGACTCAACATTAATATGTGTGTGTGTGTGTGTGTGTGTGTGTGTGTGTGGAAATCATTTATAAACTAAATCAAAGAGTTAATAAGCATTTCCCTGCTTAGTTTTAATCTGTTTGTTTCATTTTTTTCCCCCAAGTGTAATCATTATGAGAGATTTGATAGTTTATTTGTATTTTATTATTTGATGAGTTCAAATTTTTAAACTTCATCTTAAGAATTGGTACACAGATGATAAGTGATATGGTTGACAGTATTTTATATATTTCAAAAATATTTTATTTATCTTTATGTTTTATGTATGCATGTATTTCCTGCTTATAGTTAAGCGCATCCATGTTGTGCAATGGCCGCAGAGGACAAAAGAGGCTGATAAATCCTGTGGAGCTGGAGTTACAGATAGTTGTTAGCTGCAATGTGGGTGCTGGGATTCAAATCAGGGTCTTCATCCAGAACAGCTAGTGTTCTTAATCATGAGCTATCGCTCCAGTCCCTGATATTTTATATTAAATAACTAAAATATTCATAATTTCTCTGCATAGTTAAAGTTGAAATTTGAAGAATAAGGAGATTTGAGATTATTTGCAAATTTCTAGAAGAAGCTAAGAAAATTGTGAGAAAGAAGAAGGGCTAATGTCACCTTAAATAGTCTCATAGTTGATAATCCTAGAAATGGCAACATGAGCAAATTATGGACAATTACAGTCAGTCCTTCAGGAGCAGTAGAAACAAGCTGTTTATTACACGTATTCTGTTGAGACTGATTCTGGGGAACAGCACAGAGAGGTGATTCAGTGGCTTCCATTTTTTTTCATAATCCTGTTTACATTTTAACACCATTGATTTTATTAATGTGACATCTCTCCAGGTGACTTTAGAACCAACCATACTTAGAAATCCCTGAATTAAACTACATTCTTTGTGTTCAATATATTCTATATCTGTCTGTAAAGCAGTCACCCTCCTTAACTCCATTATATCTGCAATAAAATGATGAGACTGTGCCTCGTGATGGTATGAGATTAATGACAACTATCATATATCTATGATAAATAACAAATAATATAAAATTATCATAATTGAGGTCATCTGAATTAAAGGAAACCAGGCAGGTATTTAGTGATCTTACACAAATGCCAAGGGGCGGGATGAGTTGAGAAGTACAGAGCCCCACACGGTGCACATTATTATATCCAGACCGAGATTCCAGCCTACGATACTTGCAATCTTTTTAGAATAAACCTCTTAATTCTTAACCAATAATAGGATAAACTGATATATCCCACAATCCTAAAATATGAATAGAAGTCACTCTCTGAAAAACTTACAGATTTTATAAGATGTTTATGATCTGTTTAGATGTTATATCTAGAAATTGGCTTTACGTGAACCTACACATAAAATTTAGAGACACTAACTTTGTAGTACTGAGCCTTGTATCCAAGACTGTGGTTACCTCCTTCCTTAATTAAGCCTTCTACTTATTCACTTGTTAATCTGATGATTGTTTAAAAGTTGTGCATTCAGCATATTTTGTTTTATTAGTTCTCAGTATTTGATGGTAAATTGTCACTGTTTGGTGCAATGCTATATTAAATATTTTTCCTTCATTTGTAGCTTTCAAAGATATATTTTAAAATAAAATTTAATAGAAGAGGTTAGAAAATGCCATTATTTGCAAACACTGGCTGAATTAAATCTTGTTAAATGCTGCTATCTGTGAAAGGATGTGTGATGGAAGATTTATTATTATATATGAGTAAGCCTCCAGTGGCCTGGAAGCCTCCTCCTCATTATGAACCAGCCATGGTTCTTACAATCTTTCTGACTCCTCCTCCACAATGGTCACTGAGCCATGGATGGGTGAGGTTCCATTTAGGAATCCCATCCTATACTCTATAGTCTCTAGTCTCCAAAACTTGGAGAGTTGTGGCCTTCTGTGTGCATCACACTCTGAAGTACATGGAAGCCTCACTGGTGAGAGTTGAGGAGTACATTAGCCCTCACTCTACCCCTTACTCTGCTATATCCCATGAGCCTTGGTTGTAGGAATTTGACTGCAGATGTGTCACCCAGTACCCAGCATCTCCCAGTTGTATGTTCTCTATGCCTGACCACTTGTGCAACTCTGCAGTAGCCTCATCTGTTGCAAAAAGAAACTTCTTTGATGATTGCTGTATGACACTTTTGTCACTTTAAGGGATGTCTCGTCTGTCTAGCACTGCATTCCCTACCAAGCAGCTCCCAGGTACACTATGCATTAATGTTCAGACACTCTACATGGATTTCTCATAGAGTTTCTAGGGCATCACTTTTCCCTCTAGGTTTCCTGCCCCCCAAAGTTTCACTCATCTCTACTCTTTTTCTCCCATGCAGCCTCCCTCCTCCCTCACTGCCTAATTAAAATTTTTAATTGACTTGAGAATTTCATAAAATGTATTTTGATCATGTTCAGAGTACCTTCCCCATTCCACCCTTAACTTTTCACAGCCCCTCGGAACTTCATGTAATTTTCCAATTTTTAAAAGATTAATAGATATTTTGCTGGGCATAATGGCACATACCTTTAATCCTAACATTCAGGAGACAG